TCAGGTAAGTACACACCTGCCTGTCTCTCCGCCCCCGCCCCGCCCCTCCGGGTGCACGGTGCCCGGCTAGGGCCCTGAAGCAATCTGCTGGTTTATTCCCTTGTTTGTTGAATAATTCATCCATGGAGCAGCTCCTGTGCCCAGCGCTGAGTCAGTGCTGACTCCAGGGTTGGAGTGAAGGGAGTCCACCCCCCTCCAGCGTATAGCAAGAGGCCTCCGGGTCCCAGATCCGCCTTGCCAGGCAGCCTTGGTCCCACCCGCCACCCCTGTGCCTGGGTTCTCGTCACAGGAGGTTGGGTGTCCCACTCGTGGTCCATGCCATTCACTGTCTCTGGGCCTTTGCACATGCCAGGCTTTTCATTCTGGTCCTGGCCTCCCTTCTGTCTGTCCCCCTGATCAGCACCCTCCTCAGTTCTCTGCGCACCTCAGATCTGGACCTGAGCCTGCTGCATCCAAAGCTCAGGATCTCCTGTTGCGGCCCCCAGACGCTTGGTAATGGGTGGTCGAGGGAGACGTCACAGGGAGAACAGCGTTGGTGACACCCCCCCCCCCAGGCTTCTGAAGGATGAGCTCTCCTCCTACAAGGTCCTACTCTCTTTCCGGTCAGATCCCTTATCAGAAATAGCAGCAGGATGTAGCCAGGTCTTCACTCCAGTGGGCGTGTTTCGTGAGCACACCTCCCTCTGCCACCCAGGGCTCCTCTGTGGTCCGGGGCTGACCCCCAGGCGTGTGCCCCCAGCAGGCAGCAGAGGCGGACCCTCTGGCAGGTCACCCAAGGAGCTGGAAAGGCAGCCCCCCTGCCAGGAGACCGAGGGCACCTGGGACGTAGGGCAGGGCCCCCACCCCACTGCGCCGGGCTCCCATCTGCACCGCAGGGTGATGACAGCTGTACCTCTGCAGTGTCTGTGGGGACAAGCCAGGGGCGCAGTGCACTCAGGTTGGCGCTTGGCACCATGCAAGGGCTCAGGAACGGCCCTTGACATTTACAACACGGCCCAAGTTACAGTTTTCATCACAGAAATTACTGTCAATAGCTGTACATCCCCCTGAACGCCGTTATCAGAGAGCACCTGGCTTTGCTGTCAGGAGACCCGAGTGTGCGTGTCCCCTGGGGCCTGGGGGGCTTAGATCCTGTGGGTGAAGGAGCCGCCCCCTCCCTTACTCGGAGGATAGAGAGCACGTGACACATCGAGCAGCTGCGGGCGCTGAGCACGTATCTCCCGCTGGCCCTGCAGGGCTGCGCTGCTGCTCACAGCTTCCAGAAGGGAGGCCGTGGTCCAGTCCCCCTCCATCCCCCGAATCCACGTCAGCGGCCGGAGTGAGCACAGAACCCAGGCTGGGCCGGCCTCCCAGCCGTCTCTCCTCCATCTGCAGCCGCAGCCAGCAGCGTACCTGCTAGTAACAGCTCCATTTCCCTCCCTGCGCTGTGTGACAGTTCTGACGATCAGCAGCCTTTTTTATCCCACTTCTTAAAGCGCCAAGAGGAAGCAGGGACCGCTTGGAGGTCTCTTTCTGCTGGCCACGCGGCCCCCTAAGTGTCGTGCAGGAGGCACCAGGGAGTGACGCCACCATCCCAATGTCAGCCCCACCGGGATTTTCTCCCCTGAAACCATCACCCGTTGTAAACTGAGGCAGTAAACAAGTGGTCTGCCAGCGCTGTGACACGGCCGCCGTGCCCGCCGGCCCCCGCCCCTCTGCCTGACACCGTTAGAGCCACGGCTGCACTGTGGGCCGGCGTCAGGAAGAACGCCAGGGCAGCGTCATCTGTTTTTCCTGTGAGCGCTCTAATTTCGCAAGAGCCAACAAAGCGAAAACATTCTCTGGAGGAGAGGACACAAGCAACACTCATTTGGCTCCAGGGGCCTGGCATCAAACACGGCTGCTACTCCCCACGCGGAGGAGGGAGCCCGCGGCCCGTGGCCAGCCCCTCGGCCCCAGCACGTGATCGTCAAATCCCAGACCTCGGGCTGGCCTGTCTCAGCTGGGTCTGGGGCAGAAATGAGCTAGGTGACATATGACCCTCGGGCTCTGGAAGACGAGACGCAGGCCCTTCCCAACACTGGGCACAGCCTGTTTGGACATCAGGAGGTTTTCCTCTGGGGATTCAGATGTGTGTCTGGGGAGGGAGGGGCAGGCATGGCTCCTCGGCTCCCTGATCCTCGCACTGAGGATGTGTGTGCACTGAGGATGGGCTTAACAAGTGGCCCCGAACACCGGGGACCTGCGTGTCACTTAATGTCATAAGGCCTTTCTCTTTCCTTGAGTTAGCTCATCACGAAAATACTAAACAATTGGAGCATTTGCTTCTCTGGCCAAAGGAAAACATGCAGGGCAGCGGGGTTGTGTAGCACCCTGTGTTCAGAGGGGCCTGTGGTGTGGGCGGCACGCCCAGGCCGTGGGTCAGCTGTGGGCCCTGGGCCAGATGCTGATCGGCCATTAAGGGGTGCAGAGGGGCACCTGGGGGAGCCCCAAGGGGCCCCGTGGTGCAGCACCTCAGAGGCCACTTCTGACCCAGGAGCTGGGAGGGACTTGAGGACTGAAGTTGAAGCAGTGTTTGTCCTGGGCTATTCGCCACCCCCCAAGCAAGAGCGTTCCTGCCCGGCTGTGCCGGCTCCCCTGGCCTCCCCCACTCAGTTTTGTCCCCGCTGACCCCTCATGTCCAGGTGACTTCTCCAAGTGGTCCACACACCAGCCCCGTTGTTACCTTCGTGTGTTCGCTAGGGGCTCAGCCCTGCCGTGTGAACACGTCGGAGCAGAGTGACGCACTTAGTAAAAACTTGAGAGCTGAAAGTGGAGTTTCCAAAGGAAAATGTTCAAACAACCAAGGCATGAAGCTGGCTTCTCTCTTGGAGCACAGACTGTGAGCTGGTCACCGACACCAGGCGCAGTGGGTGACCGTGCAGGCCGTCACCTGCCAGGGCAGCACTTGGATGCGGCCCGGACAGCATGGTTGGTGCGTCGTAGGGTGGTAGGGCCTCTGCCCCAGGTACACAGGTGTCAAAATGGGCCCCCCCAGCACCAGCGCTGGCCCCAGCGTCTGCCTGGGTTTGCAGGGACGTCCTGAAGGGCGGCTCCGGAGTGCCCCGGGGCTGCCGCGGTGTCTGCGCCCTGCACACAAACTGGGTGCTGAGAACAGCAGGAACTGACTCACGTTGTGGACAGAAGCCCGCAGGTGAAGTGAGCCCCTGGCTGCTCTCCCTGCAGGGGCTCCAGGGAGGGTCCTTCCTCCCTGTGGAGCCCCTGGTGGCCGCGGGCGTTCCTGGTCTCGTGGCCACATCACCCGGTCTCTGCCTCCGCCTTTGCATGGCCTCCCTTCTGTCTCGCACAAGGACACTCACTGGATTTAGGGCCACCATGGTCCAGGGTGAACTCGCGTTGTAATGTCATTTCATCTGCGAAGACCCTTTTCCTGTGGAAAGGCACGTTTGCAGGTGCGGGGAGACACATGGATGTGTCTTTCAGGGGGGCCCCATTCAAGCCAGCACACCTGGCAGGCCTCTGAGAGGGGGACCGCATCCCAGCTCCCTTCCCCACTGCCGCATGGGGCTCCCTCAGAACAGCCATGTGAGCCCGGGCAGGCTGTTTGCTGCCTCTGAGCCTGCGTTTCCTCAGCCCTGAGAGGTGGTTCAGGTGCTCTTTAATGGGATTCTCGGCTGTGCTGTGAGGATTTGCATATACAACACGTGAAACGGGCAGGGGTCTGCAGCAGGACCCAGCAAGTACCGTGCACCTTCTTCCTGAAGTCCCAGGCCCCCTGTGTCCAGCCTTTGGGCCCAGACCCAGTGTAGCCGGACCCCTGCTGGGAGCCCAGGGAGGGAGCCCCGAGCCGGGAGCAGCCCCTGGGGCCTGGGCGCCCAGCGCTGCGCCCTCGGCCTGGGTCAGCAGTGAGTGTGGACCTCGGGCCACACAGGCGGGTCAGACCCTTGCTGGCTCACCATGGGCCCGGGTGCCTCCCTGTGCCCCTGTGCTCAGCGGAAGGGGTGGTGGCCACACTGCTGGGCAGGGTCTCCAGCGGTGACGGGACAGGAGCAGGGGGCCCCGTAGATGCAGGCACAGCACCGTGGCCAGGAGAGGAGGACGGGGGTCTCCATGCAGCCCTTTGCAGCCCGTCCCCCCTGCATGCCTGTCACGGCGCGCCCTGCTCCGCAGCCTCCCTCCTCTGCCCAGAGAGCCCCGGGAGGGACGAGCGAGTGGCAAGGTCTTGGGAGAGCCGCCCACCGCAGCGGTGAGGTCCCCGGTCAGGTGGCTGGAGCGCGCCTTCCTCTCACCACCCACCCACCATCTGCTGGGAAGTTGTCCTGCCATCCATGCGACTCCGCGTTTCATCCAGACCGCGTAGCCGTCTTACATAAACGAGGCGGTCGTCACGCCTTGGACTCCATGGTTGCTAGAACCGTGTAGAACTCGGCCGGCCTCACAGCAGAGCCGGGAAACGCCCTCAGCCGTGCTGGTCCCGGCCCGGCCACCGGCCGCTGCGGCCGAGCGCAGCTGCCCTGCCTGGGCCTCAGCCTCCCCGTCTAAACGGGCCCCACCCTGCTCGCTGCCACGAGGACTAAGTACTCGGCAAGGTCAGGGCCCCGCAGTCACTCTTCCCTGTTTCTCATTTGAAGCCGCCCTGGCAGCGTACGAGTGGCTGGTTTGCTATCTGCTCCGGGAGAGTTACCAGAAGTTAAATCGAGAGAAGCAGTCTGGGAGCAGCGACTTTGAAGCAAGAAACAACTGTCAGGTATTCGTTTGTGTTACAAGTTGCTCTTTTTGTGATTTGTTCCTAATTCCTGTACTGTCGTGTCCTCAGTGAGCTGCACCTCAGGCACCTGGCCTGACCTCTTTGCACCTCCCTTGCCAGACATGGAAGAGACTGTGGGCATCATACTAAGGTGCCTGACAGTGTCCATGGGCTGTGGAGACCTGAGGCACACGGTGGGGCTGGGACAGGAGCCAAGATCCCTCCCACCAGCAGGGCGATGGCTCGTCGACTCACGTGAGGGCACGCCAGTGCTCCGCATTTGGTTTCTCAAAGTCGTCATCCCCCTCCCCCAGATGCCTGAGTGGAATCGGTCCAAGGGCCGCGCTGGTTCTCACGCTGGGACAGGGCTGCCTCTCGTGTCCAGGGTCCCGGCCCTCGTTAGGTGGCACCTGGTTCTGCTGTGCTCTATAGCCCGGTGCATCTGCAGTGACAGGTGTTTTCTGGGAGGCCGGAGGTGAACGTAGCCCGGGAAGCTTCTAAATCCAGTACTCGCTCTTGTTGGTATCTGCTCCGGGTCACACTGTGTGATGGAGCCATCCCGGAGATCCTGGGGCCACATCCGCCCGTGGCCTCTGACGGCCCCGGCTCCTGGGCCCCTCAGCAGAAGACACAGAGCAGGCACCCAGGGACTTGCTAGGCGCGCCTGCCCCGGGGAGGGAGGAGCAGACAAGGACGGGTCTGGATTAGAAAGGCCCCTGCGGAGGGCAGATTAACCAAGACCACACCTGTGTCATCAAAGGAGTGAACTAGCAGGCGGCAAGGGCAGTGAGCCTCCAGTTCAGTCTAGGGACCCAGAGTAAGGGGTGTGAGCACCGCCCTTCCAGGTGCACTGGGCCACACAGGCTCAGTCGCTCGGACATGGGCGGCTGTGGTCAGCTTGTCCCGCGTCACTCCGTTCTCTGCATGTCGGGGTGTCGACCTGGAGATGGAAGTGGAGATGCTCCCCAAGACCCTGGAGCGATGGAGGACGCAGAGGACGCCCATTCCCGCCATGTCCGAACCCCACAGAGCATCCAGAGGGCCACCGCAGCCGTCCGAGCCGTCCGCTCACACCTGCACTCCCGGTCTCAGGGTGGCCCGGGGTGTGGCGCTGTCGGTTGAGAAAGAATTCACCGAGGCCTGGAGGGAGAGGTGACCCCAGAGGGAGTCTGCATCTTCCAGACCTGGGCTGCATCACGGAGCATGTTAAGAGGGAGCATGGGGTCATCCTTACAGCCGAGAGCGTTCTCAGAGCCCTGGGCTGGACGTCCAGGGTCCTGTGGCGATGCGGTCCCTTCCCATAGCGTGATGGCAGCGGCAGGAGGAAGCGTGAGAAGAAAAGTCCAGGCGGTGTTTGTGCAGCCTTGGCGGAGACAAGCTTCTTAAGTAGGACGGAAACTCGGAAGCTGTGAAAGACACTGTCGGCTCTGACTGCGTTCACATTCACCCTTTCCGACTATTCTGAATAGTAGAAGATGATGTAAGCAACGTCAGAAGACAGATCCCAGGCTGGGGAAGCACAGAACACCACCGGCTACAGGAAAGAGTTCCCGCAGCTGGAGGGTCAGCCTGGCCCGGGACCTGCCCCCCGCCCGAGGTGGCCACCGCAGCAGCGGCTGCCCGCGGACCAGGGCCCGGGACGCACAGGTGGAAGGACCGTGTCCAGTGGACAGCGGCCACTCCACACCCTGTCCTTTTTGGGGAGGTTACTTGCAGTTTTGTGGGAAGATAAGACGCGCTCTCCTTCTGACTCAGCGCCGGAGCTGATTAGCTTTTCTCTACTCCCACTGGCAACAAACTACTGTCAACTGTTCACCTACAGCTGGCTGGGCGCACACAGCAGGGTCTTAAAAGAAGAAAACAAAGGCGCGTTTGTTGTATTTTTTGGCTGGGCAGCACCTTCACACGTTCCAAGTGAGAAGATATCAGAAGGTGGGGGGGAAGCCCCCCCCGGACTCCCTCCAGCGACGTCTGTACAGGAAGCAGGATGAGGTGCTGTTTCTCCCTCCGTGTGTCGTTTCACTCCATCGTCTCTGATGGGTAAGGATGTCGAGGCCAAGAGAAACGGCCCAGGGCACTGGCTTGACCCTGGAGGGCCGGCACTGACCCCAAGCCTGCTGACCCCAGAGCCCGACTCTTCCCCCGGGCTGCGCAGCTGATGTCCAAATGTAGTTCAAACAGTTCAGATTTTGGTTTTTTGCCAAAAGTTTCCGTTACTTGTTAAAGTGCAGATATGCTCAGAGCTTAGGACGTACCCAAGAGCAATATCTGACCCCGAATTCCTTTCCGGGGCATGTGGGCTCTGGCTGACCCTCCTGGTGGCAGCGCTCGGGGCCTGGCACTATCACATGCCCACTGCACAGACCAAGAAGCTCGGGCTTGGGGCAGAAGCCACTTGCCCGCACTTACACACTCGTAAAAGCCAAGCGGGTTTGGACGCTGAGGCCCAGGCCCTTAGCTACTGCATCCGTGAGACAGAGCCCGGCCGGACTCATACGCACCCGCGCAGTGTCATGGTCAGAGGTGGGGCCGCCTTCCCAGGCCAGCACCAGTCAAGGCCGTAGCTGAAACTAAAGCGTGCCGCTTTACAGAAAAATAAGATGAAAAGAGTGTGACCTAAGACTAGAAAATCCATGTGAGTTTGGACTCAGTTCGAGCCTGGCCTCTGGGATTCACAAAGGGGCACCCACGCGGAGAGGCACCCACAGCCTGTGAGCACGTTTAGGGGTTTAATGTACTAACATGCCCTGGTGAAGTAGTTAAGGGGTGGTCACTGGGGTCAGCCTGCCTGGGTTCAAGTGTGTCTCCGCCCCTTGCCAACTGTGTGACCTTGGTGCGGGGTGGGGGTGGGGGGCTCAGCTTAGGGCCTGGCCTGGGGAGCAGTCCTGCCCACCTTCATTGTCATTGTCATCTCCCCTCCTATGAGGCCCCCCACCCTGCACCCAGCAGAGACCCCACCTCCCCGGTCCTCACCTTCCAAAGCCAAGAGCACACACACCACAGTGTGTGCAAGAAGGAAGGGGTTAAAGCCACTCTGAGGCCCCAGGCTGGCCCTCCAGAAGGGACAGTGGGGTAGCAGGACGTGTACCCTCTGGGGATGCAGAGGCCCAGTGGGGTCTTGGGACAGGACCAGCCAGATGGGCAGGAGGTGGGGAAGCACCCTGCCCCGGAATTTTCTCCTGACAGCTCACTGTCTCCAGCAGGCCCCAGGGGAACCTTGGCCTTGGAAGTGACAACCCAGTGTTTGCTCTGAAAGTTTACAGCAGGCTTTACGTCAGAGCCCATCCCCCTCGGTGCTCCTGCCTCCCGCTTCCCGGAGCCCACTCCTCCCCCCCCCTCCCCAGGGATGCTGGCTGGCGGCCTGGGTCAGTCATGCAGGCCTGAGGAGGGGTCTTCTCCGCGCCCCGCTCCGGGCACTGCCGTGCTAAATTTTTTTAATTTCCAAAGCAACACGTGCTTATAACAAATCAGGAATGCACGTATGATTGTCCTGATTTTAAAAACTGGTTAAAATAATAAATTGGAGACTGGAGAAGAAAAGCTAACAAGCAAAGCTAATGATTAGCAGCAGATGTTTTGGATGTCGGTTTAAAAAAGAAGTTGGGACCGAAAGATCGTCAGTGACTTCCTGCTTCCACAAACAAAGCCAGAGTCAGAACTCACATGCAAGGAACACTTGGCCCCGCTCAGCCGTCCCCCTTGTTTCTGGACCTGACTTGAGGGCGGAGTGGGAGAGAGGCTGTTTCTTTCAAAGTCTGGGAGGCCAGCAGCGTGGCAACGCCCCGGGGGAGGCTGACATCACTTTCAGGTGCCAAGCACCTTCTCTGTGGCCCCAGGTGGGAAAGAGAATTGACCTCGCGCCCTCGGGGAGCCCACCTCCTGGGGTCAATGCAGGCCTCTGCGTGGGGCTTTCCCCGAGGGTGCTGCCTGTGCCCGCCCCATCTGTCCCCGGAGCGCCTGGTGCTACTGGCTCGCAGACCTCCCACGGTGCCTGGCTGGCCGCCTGCTCACCGGCGGCTGGCGCCCGTGCCGGGCTTCGTTGCAGGTGTACTACTGCCGCTCCTTGGCCCTGGCCTTCCTGGAGTTCACGGTGGCGCGGAGGTTCCACGAGCACACGCACCAGCCCCACGTGCCGCCCCCGCTGCGGGCCGTGCTCGGGCGGCTGAGCGCCCTCTATGCCCTGTGGTCCCTGAGCCAGCACACGGCCCTGCTCTACCGAGGTGAGCCCCCTGCGCGGGCACCTGCCGCCCCCACCTCACCCTCCACTGTGCCTGGGAGACTTAGCTCCCCTGTGGGTTACTGAACACTCATCCCATGCTGAGTGAGCCTTTGGCGGATAAGGAGCCCGGAGCCCGTGGGGAGAAAAGCACGAGGGGCAGAGCAGCATCAGGACGGCCCTGAGAGCCGAGCCGAGCGCTGGGGCGGCAGTCCCGGGAGTGCCCACTCTGGGGACCTGGAGGGCTTCCTGGAGGAGGTGATGAGTGGGCTGATTCCTGGAAGATGGGTGGAAAGAGAGTAAACCTGAGTTTCTCAATCTTTTTTTTCATTTTTCTCCCCCTAAGAAACCTCTTCAAATATTTTTTTCTAATCACCCCCATGATGTGTTACTACTACAGCTATTCTGTGTAGCTGTTCGTGTCCTGTGCGTGTGTCTGGCCTGCACCAGGAGTACGTTTTTTCCCCTCCCCCTTGCCAAGAACCCACGTTTTCGCCCCTTGAGGTGGGGGTTGCCCCTTGGAGGCGGTGCACAGGGCCTCCCAGGCAGAGGGAGCAGTAGGGTGCAAGGACTGGAGCCCACGCACCCTGACGAATGACAGCTCTGGGTGAGCGGACAGAGTTCTCTCACAGAAAAATCCGACAGCAGCCAGTCCTGCAACACATGCATTCTCCAGCGCGTGGGGCCGCTTCCTTGGGCCTGCTGGCCGGCACAGCACAGCCCGCCGCAGTGTGGGAGGCGAGACAGAGCAGGGGCGGCCCATGCCCATCCCCTGGTGGCTCCAGATGGCCCGTGTGCCCCCAGGCACAGCTCTGTGCCTGCAGCCCCTGCCAGCCCCCAGCCCAGGCTCCGTCCGGGCGTCCCAGTCACCACCTGTGCTGTGCTCTGCCTGCCCAGCCGACCGGCCCTGCCCTGCTGGCCTCCCTGAGCCTCTCGCCCAGGCCCTGGGCTTCTGTGTCCCCAGCTCCCAGCCATGACCTCCCAGCATGTGCTCAGTGAACCAGTGGGAAGGGGGACACGGGAACCTGGCCCCAGCCAACGCCATCTTGCAGAGAGGTCGCAACGGGGTTCGGGCAGTGGTAGCGAGAGGTTTTCCTACAAAATGGGCTGTTTGGGAAAGGAAGCTTGCTATTTGTGGCTGATCTGGGGCCAGACCCCAGGGTAACCGACCCTCTGCTTACAGGTGGCTACTTTTCTGGTGAGGAAGCAGGTAAAGCGATAGAGAACACCATCCTGGCCCTGTGTGCCCAGGTAAGCTGCCGTCACCTGCCACTGTCGCATGATTATGTATTACACGATCACCTGAATAGTAATGTCCACTGGCCTTGGCCTCGTGTGCACAGAATGGTGAGCAGCGACGGGAAAATTACAGAAGAATGTGCTCGTGTCAGAAATCGCGAGGAGAGTAGCTTTCCGGGACCATCTTAGACTCTGCACACGTTCAGTTCACTCTAGTGTCTTTACAGCGACGTCAGTGATTCTCGAGCATTTCACGTTAGTCTCCAATTTCATTTCACGGTATTTTATTTCGTTATTGCGTTCTTTTACCTCCGTCACCCAGGAGTGTCAGCTGGCCCTGGTCCCATGTTATGTTTTAGTGGTGCCCTGTGCACGGGAACTTCCTGCAGGAATGGACGTGCTCTGGGGCCGCACTGCCCCGTGCAGTCACCACCAGCCCCCTGGGTAGAAGAGTAGTGAGTGTGACTGAGGATTTTTAGTTTTCTTTCAGTGTCATTAAACAGCCACGTGTGTAGTGGCCACTGTGTTGGGCGGTGCAGGTGACGGAGGCATTACGATATGAACCAAAGCTTCCTAGCATTTTATCAAATGTCTCAAGTGACAGGTGACAGGCCACTTCGTTTCTCCCCTTTCAGGGCTTGCGAAGTTGGTGTGGTTCCTGGTGACGTTCTGTGCCGGTGCTCAGCCTCCCTCCGGGTTCATTCCCTAAACGCCCATCTCTCGCCACCCGGGCTCTGGGTCAGGGTGGGTCTGTGACCGTGTACAGACAGCCACGCTTACTCTCACAACCAGTGGCAGGAGGGGTTCCCTCCCCGCGCTCCGCGGCGGTGCTCAGCTGCCTTTCTAAACAGTGCAGCAGCTTTTCCCCTTGTTCTCAAACGCAGGGCTCACGGCACAGCTGGTGGCTGTGGCCAAGGTGGCAGGGACCCTGTACAGTAATGCAGCCCACGCTGCCTGGCAGATCCGGGTCCTCGTTCTGGCGTGGGGCCCGGGGTCGGCCAGGTGGAGGGCGGCACACCCGGCCCGGTCCAGCCGGCCCCTCATGCATCGTCTGTGGGGATGTTCGCGCTGTCTCGGCAGAGGTCAGCGTAAGATGGAGACCCCGTGGCCTGCAAGGCCTGGCTGTGTCCTGTGGGCCCCTTACATGAAACCGTGGCCGACCACTGGTCCAGACCTGGACCTTACTCTGCTGATGAGGTCCCCCTGAAGTGGGGCAGGCTCGTGCCCCTCAGCCCACCGGCCATGACCACGGTGCCAACGTGTGCGGGGCTCTGATCCACGAAGCTGGGTGCGTTTCCACTGTTTTTGTGGTTTTGTGACCCTGCACTCAGTTGATTTAATCCACACCATTACAGTCGTCCCCATTCCTGCTGTGTTCAGTACAGCCGTGGCATTTCACAGTTACTTTAAGAAGAAGATTTTTTTCTTGCATTTCAAGAAAATTCTTGGGAGTCTTGTCATACAAATTCCACTTGTCACATTGAAGAATAATTTATGTGGTGGAATGGAAGAGCAATTAAACTGAGAACCAACGAGCATTCGAATGATGGATTTTCCAGGTTCTCATAAATGCCTTCTCACTTACTACATTTTTTTTCTGGACATACTTTCCTATATTGGAACACTAACTGCCCAGAGAAGTCAGGGTTTAGAGACAAATCTCTGAAGACAGTTGCCAATTAATGAGCCGCAGAGACGTCACTTTCATGAGCTGTCCCTACCTTGTTGAAAAAAAATGACACATTGGAGGTCTTGAGTGAATAGCGACATGGTGAAAACATTCAGACCCGCGCGCGGGGACTCTGTGCCCCAGGCCAGTGAGAGGATGATGCTTTAGCAACCAGCTGAGGGCCTGCCGGGGCGACCGCTGCTGGTGGGGTGGAGGCTCTGTTGTGAGGTGGTCGCCTTAGAGATGCTGGGAGTTGCCAAGTGTACGGACTTTGTTTCTTAACAGCTGAAAGATGATGCTGTTGCCCTGGTGGACGTGATCGCCCCTCCGGACTTCATCCTGGACTCCCCGATTGGCAGAGCCGACGGCGAGGTGAAAGCAGCCTCCCTCCCGGGGCCACGGGGGACGCCGTGCGCCGGAGCGCGAGCCAGGGGCTGCTCTGGGGCTGCGGGGGTGCCGCTCCTCGCACGTGGGCAGCAGGGGAGGGAGTGGCTGGGAGAAGTTGGGGTGGGTGATTGTGGGCGGGTTAGCCAGCCCCCAGCCTGCCTTCCTCCCAGAGATGGGGTGTTGTTACTGCCCTCTTGGGCCATGATGCCAAGGTTAGCATGGGCCTGCATGGAGCTGGGGGGCCTGCAGTGTCTCCCTCTTTTCACCTCCCCTTGAGGCCTTTCCAGTCCCGGGTCTCCTGACCATGTCACAGTGCAGGGTCCTGACCCCTCCGTCAGTGGGGCCACTCAGCCCCTGACCTGAGCTCCCCTGGCACCCCCCCACGCAGCTCCCCGATCTCCTCCCCTACCCACCCTGTCCCCCGTGCTCCAGAATGATTTTTTTAGAAGCCAATCTTGTCAAGCAGCTCCTCTGAGCCCCCTCTCTGCATCCCGCATACCTGGAACTTACACCCAGATTCCTTCCTGTGCCCCGTACCCTAACGGCCTGACCTCTGCCTGCTTCTCCAAGGTCACTTCACACCACGTTCCTCCTGCCCTCTGGACTCCAGCTTCCCTGTCCTGTTTCTCTCTTGTATTGGGCTCATCCTCACCCCAGGGCCTTTGCACCTACTGTTCTTGCTGCAGAGAGGACTCTTGTTCGTTATAAGCAGAATGCTGCTTCTTCAGAGGGGCCTTCCCTGGCTCCAGCTGAAGTGCCACCCCCACTTTTTTCTGCTGTGTCATCAAGCCCACGTGCGTCCTCTGCCACGTGGAGATGCTCATGCTGGACGATGCCCACAGGTCTGCGCAGTGCCTCTCAGCACCGCACTACCTGTGGGTTGTCCCTGTGTTTCCATGGAAATGTGACGTTTCAGTGAAGTCACATGTCTGAGGTCTCACGGCTGTCATTTCTTTCTGCTGAGACACCCAGGCTGACCCAGGCTTTGCATAAATGGAGCTGAATCCCCCATCTGTCCACAGGGGACACTGCAGTCAGCCCAGGGGGACAGGAGCCTAGACTTCTGCCCAGCCCAAGCCACACTGGAGTTGGGACAGGTGGAGCAGGCACTGGGGTGGGCAGGATGGAAGAGCCCCCCCATCGAATCAGGAGGGCAGGAACAGTACACCTGAGGGGGGCGTGCTGTCCTCTGGCTGCAGAGCTGGGTGTCGAGCAGCATCCCGAGATGCTGGGCGGGTTACCCTTGGTTGCCCAGCCAGGCGGCAGCAGGGCCAGGATTTGGGTAGAGATGGATTGTTTGGAGGGAAGACAGGAGAGCGGAACTCAATCTGTTGGGGTGGCCAGGGCTCTGGTGGGAGCATGAGGAAAATGTGCCATGAGTCCCCGGGAGAGGGGCCGGCCCCTGGGATGAGGGCTTACTAGGCAGCCAGCAATGCCATCACGGGGGCCTGCCTGGATGTGGCGCTGTCTGAGGACCCCTGAGCACATGGGAGCTCCATCCAGGAGGAGCTGGAATGGATCTGCAGAAGGCAGCTCTGACGCACGGTCGGGGCGAGGGACTGAAAAGTAGGGTCATCCTGTACTGTCCCGAGTTGGGGGCCCCACATCCCACACTGAGGCCAGAGCCAGCCTGAGGCCTCGCTGGACAGGGTGGTCCACAGAGTGCACGTTTCTCCCAGTGTCGAGGGCTGAGGTTTGAACCAGGTTTGTTCACACTGTTGTACCACCATCATTACATGATGCATGGTGCTCCACAGTGTGAAATGTGCCCCCAGATTTGTGACCTGTGGGGAGACAGCCTGGCCTGGTGGCTCTGGGAGCCAGGAAGAGCAGAAGGCAGGAGGAGTTGCTCAGTGCCTTCAGCAGGCGCAGGGAGGACAGCTTCTCAACAGTGACGTCTGTCCACATCAGCCAGATACAAGATGGGACCCACCCTGTCTCCACGGACCTCGGCCTTGACGCCGGCTGTGCTGGGCGCTGGGAGGAAGCCACCACAGCTGCCCGCCACACCCGTGCCCTCCTCTAAGGTGACAGGTGGAGCAGCAGGCAGAAAGCAGTTCAGTCTGGAGGTCCCGGGGCAGACGGCTGGCCCAGTGGGGTCTTTCGGGGCGGGCAGAGAGGGGCCGGTGTGTGCTCAGGCCCGGTGGCCCGGAGACAGGACGGTCATTCTGCTGCTTGGCTGCACCGCCACCTGCCAGCCGGCAGCCACGTAGGGGTGGGAGGACAGATTCCAGAGCAAACGGCAAACACAGACTTGCAGGACCCACTTTCCATGAGAGTTTCCAAAGAAAAGGCCACGCAGGATGTTTCGTCGTAAATGTGCTTTACGGTGCCTTATAGCTGCATTTCATGGTGGTTTTCTGCTGACAAAGAAGTGTGTAAACTAAAGTTAAATCATCTGGAAAGATTTCTGAGAAGTGACGGGAGGACTTCCTGTGTTTTTAAAGCAGCTTCCGAGGGCGGCTGTGTTGGCATCCTCGACCGTGGGAGGAATCTCATTCCGTGTGACTGTGTTGTGTGTGTTTTGCAGCTCTATAAAAACCTCTGGACCGCAGTCCTTCAGGGAAGCAGGGTGCTGGAGAGAGCGTCGTGGTGGCCGGAATTCTCTGCCAACAAGCCCGTCGTAGGAAGTTTGAAATCAAAGCTGTAGTCACACTGGCCAGGTTCCGACGAAGCTAATAAGGACACGGGCCTCATGTTCAAGTTCTTAAGGTCCTGGAGACGGCTGTCCCCTCTGAACCCACACCGCGGCGCTCACCCCTATTGAGCCCACGGCGGGACGGCCCGTCCGAAGCTGGGCACCCCCGGAGTCACACCAGGACTGACTGGGGGGATCCGTCGTAATCTGCTGCTCAGTCATGTCTTTCTGATGGACTCCGCACTTTCTGATAATCAGAGCTTTGCGCATTCTGTTTTCGCACGCTGAATGTAAAGGTGGCGGCGGGTAACGGGAGTCGCTGGCCAGATGGTGTTTTGCATTCCTCTGAGATTTTTTCACAAGGCTCTGCTTCACTGGGCCCTAAAGGGTGCCACACTGATCTTTGTTCACTCTGGTTTGATTTTCTCATGTAATTCAATGGTGTCGGAACCTGTAACCTCGCTAGTTTGCACCACGGACCATCCAAGTGACATAATTTAAGATCCTTAAGGAAAAGGACATCAGCTGTATTGCTTTCTTGCGTGGGCCTGGAAGCGTCCATCAAGGAGATGCTACCGGGGGGGAAGGGCCGTAATGGTCTGGGTGTCCAGTCAGCCCTCAGGCCCGGCCTGCCGGCCGTGTGCGCGCTGCGCTGGGAGTCGGTTTGCTCTCGCCGGAGGTGGATCCCCCAGTGCCTCCCGTGCCCCGGGGCGTCTCCTCCGCACTCTCCCGGCCGTGGGCCCAGGCTGCTCCTGGCGGCAGCTGGGTGGAGGGGGTGGTGGGTGTCTCCGCCCATCACTTGTGTGCCCCTGGCCAGGATGGTGGGGGGTTCTCACTCTCGGCCCCTCTCCGTTCCCTGCAGCCTCTGACTGGTCCAGGAGGGTTGGGGCCTCTGCCCTCGCAGCCCCGGGGCCCTCCCCACCCTGTCTTGGCCCCCACGGAGCACCGCTGCTTGTTTTCCAAAATAGCCCAGAGAACCTCTGAGCACATGAAGGGCCTGGGCAGGAATCAGTTTTTAAAGACTGAATTTAATTCTGTGGGTGGTTCCTTGGCTTCCCAAGCCTCAGTTTTCATGCCTGGAAAAGGGGTGCACACCCTCCCCCACCACAGCGCATCTGGATGGGCAGCAGGGGCTGCGGTTCAGGAGCACATAGTGTTTGATGGGCCTTTCTGCTGGCTGTCGCGGGACCCTTAGACTATGTGAGGTGAGCTGTGTCGTGCCCATTTTACAGAGGAGAAAACTGACCCTGATGGGCTGAAACCGCTGCCAGGGGCCAGACAGCCAGGAAGTGGCAGAGCTGGACCAGGCTTTCAGGTCTGACCCTGGTGGTCCCTGGCCCCCTTCGCGGGGTGGACCTGTGGGTTTCCTGTCCCCAGGAGCCCCATCCTCCTCCTAATGGAACCCCAGCTCTGTCCCGTGTCAGCTCCAGAACTGGGCTAGTTCTGGCCCAGGCTCCTTGCCCCCCCCCTTTGCCCCAGTCGCCGGCTCAGCCCAAGGGGCCTGTCGGGCTGATCCTGGGACTGACTTGGGTGCTGGGACGGAGGGGTCTCTCGCTTTCTCTGGGCAGCGTGCTGCCTGCTGATGACCTTTGCTGCCACGTGAGCCCGCGGCCGGAGCCAGCCCATGGGGGTGGCAGGGGCCCTGGCCTACAGGCGCGTGAGCCGCAGGTGAGCTGGGCCAGCAGACCCACGCACAGAGCCCAGCGCCAGGCTCCTGGGTGGATGTGCGGGAGGTCCACCCTCCAGGGGGACAGGGAGCGTCTGTCTCCGGTTTGGGGACTCCTGGCCGCTTGGTGCTGCCTGCTGACCTGCGGCAGCCTCTGATTTGCTTTTTGCTTTCACATTCCGCTCAATGAGGCTCCGTGAGGATCCAGGGTTCCCGCGACTCCCAGGGATGACCCCCAACCGACCTCGGCTGGTGCCCCACCTGCCAGGCCGTGCAGGCGGTGGCCCATCTTGCTCTGTGACACCCAGAGGAGGGAGGTTCTCAGTCCCGTGGCGAATAGGGGTCCTGGGTGGGTGAAGGGAGACTGACGTGAGCACAGTTGCTTCCTTGACACACTTGTCACAGGGCTGGAAGCCTTGCTTCCTCCGGGGGACCCTGAGCTCTGAACAGGGTCCCTTCGGAAGTCCCTCACGCAAGGAGGACTGTCTGCCTTGGGGAGAAAATGCTTGTATCCTCTTACAAAGGCTGAAGGAAGACAAAACCCCAGCGGCTCCTGGGGTGTCTCCTAGATGCAGGAATGCAGCTTTGCAGACATTCCTGACGTTGGCTCGGAGCGATGCAAAACAGCTTCCAGGAGACTCTCCCTATGCCATCACCCTCGAAGACCCTGGCCAGTGTCTCTCTGGCAGCTGGGGACAGGCCTTGGAGTGGCCCAGGGTTCAGGCCCCACTCGGTGCCTGCTGTGAGGCCCGGGGCGCATCTCCTAACCTTCCCGAGGTCGTTTTCCTCCTTGATGGAAGTCCTGACAGCCGTCTTCCAGGGCCGTAGGGGCTGAGTGAGAGGGTGTATCATGCAGTCCTGGGCCCACGGACCTGGACGCTCAGGGCTGGGCCCGGGAATCTGCCCTCTTCCGGGACCTTGGGCAGTTCTGATATGTTGAGTCTGAGGACCACGGCCTCTGCTATGGGCCTGAGTTCTGGGGAGAGTGTGGCGGGGGTGTAGGCGGTCAGTGGGGCAGGGGAGAGGCCATCCTGTACCAAGTTGGAGGAGAAAACCAGCTGCCATCCCGCCACCTGCCTGCATGTGCCCAGGACTGGCTCTGCCCCAGTCTCCAGCCCTCTCGCCTAGGCGGAGGGTGTTGCCCAGGGACCAGGGACCAGTGTGGCCACAGGAGGAGCTTCACATGGCCCAGGCTGGCCCTTCTCTGCGAATCCCAGGCTGCACAGAAGAGCTGCGCTCTGGGAGAGCCCTGGTCACGTGGTCTTCGTCTCTGTGATCGCCCCTCAACACTTGGCGTCAAGGGCCTGGGGCTGCACGGACAGTTTACTCTGTCCCTGGTGCTGTTCACTTCTGGCTTCCTGTGTGGCTTCCCAACCCCAGGAGAGCTGCTGGGGTCCTGCACCTGAGCCCAGCTCCCTCAACCCTTCCCTGGGCATCCCCACTCCCCTGACCGACCAGCGGCCTCTGGACGTGTATGGAGTGTTGGCAGCAGGCTGGCTTGTCCACCTGGTGTACGAGCCAGGGTGCCATCGGTCCTGAGTCCTTCACACTGAGGACCAGTGGCACCCCATGTGGAGCAGGCAGGACAGGACGTGTGGCCCACCGTGAAAGTAATGCTGGAGTACAGTACGATGAGACGGGGCTCACCAGCCAGTGACAGGTCCACTTTTCATCTTGCAAAACCGTCGCAGTTGAAATTCTTTAGAAACCATTGCAGGGAGACAACAATGAGAGCCCCTTCTCCCGCGCCTCCCCAGCCCCGCTGGCGGGCAGCCGTGCTTCCGGAGCTGCTCGCCTCTGCTCACGGCAGCCGCGGGCTGTGGGGGAGGAAGTGTGTCTACCCGCACGTGGAAGACCGCGTGCGAAACGACAGCTCCCGGATAAAGGCTTTGTGAACGCGAACTCCGAGCTGGGCCCAGGAGGCAGCTGTGGCTCACGTGGCTCACACTTGGCCTTTGTTACTCAGCGAGGGGTCGAGGGGGCGTGGGGCCCTCCACGTGGCACTTCCAGGACGGGAGACAGGAAGTGGGGTCAGTGTGGGGCCCGCAGCCCCTGGGAAGGAGCCTCCTGGCCTCTGAGAGGGGAGGGAGCTCAGCAAAGAGGACAAGGAGGTGCTGGGTCTCCCTCGCGGCCGCAGCACCTTAGATTTGATGTCCTTCTTGCCTGAAGGAATGACCACATGAGGTGTTACGGCTGGATCCTGTCCCCCCGAATCCATACACCAAAAGCCCACCCCCAGCGCCTCGGAAGGTGATGGTTCCTGGAGATGAGTGTTTAAAGAGGTGATTAGGGTAAAATGAGGTCACACTCGTGGGTCCTGATCCAATAGGACTGGTGTCCCTGCAAGAACGGGGATTGGAACCCGCACACACACAGAGGGACGACCACACGAGGACACAGGGAGAGGACGGCTGTCTGCAAGCCCAGGAGAGGGGCCTCGGAAGGAAGCAGCCCTGCCCGCGCTGCGGCCCAGACGCCTGGCTCAGGATGCGGGGGGAGACCTTTGTATCTGCGCTGACCAGGCTGTGGACACGGAAGCTAACGCACAGGCTGCCGGTGCCCCAGATGAGCTCACCCATTTCAGAGAGCGCCTTGGCTGCTGGCCCAGGGTCCCTCGGAGGGTGGGCACGCTGCGCCCAGAATGAGATTTCAGTGTGTTCCCACCGCCCAGAGGGAAAAGGCCACAGGAGTAGGGACAGTGTATGTGTCTGGGGAAACCACGGGCGTGTGGTTGCGGACGACTCGCGACGGAAGGGAAGCCAGGAGACCTGTGTGAGGCTGGCCTGGGAGCTGGCGGGCCGCTCTCTGCCTTTCCCTTCCCCCAGCGTGGGGGTGGGGGCTGGAGCCAGGCGGTGGGCCTGAGGGTCAGGCCACCCACTGTCAGGGCTGCAGACTCAGGGTCCCCCCAAACCCCCACCCCAGCTCCAGGGCGCACGGGGCCCCTGCCAGGGACGAACTACAGGCCGCGTACAACCTACGCCGTTCATCTGATTCCAGAGGTGGGATTCGCCCCGGTTTCCGGTGGGGACCCTGGTACTCCAGGCCTCCAGTGACCAGCCTGCAGCCCGCGTGCATCCACTGCCCCTCGGGGAGGGGCTCCCGGGCTGGGGCTGCAGCTGCTCCGGAGCTGACCTTCTGTGAGTCTAAAGGAGGCCCTGGGACTGCTGAGCGCCAAAGGGTGTGGACGAGGAGCCGGCTGCCTGTGTTCTGTTTGGGTGGTCTGGTGTGAAGTCGTCCTTCCAGAAGTTTCCTTCCCCCGCCCCCTCCAGTCCCTCCCAGCCACCTTCCTGAGACTGAGGTCTGCAGAGATAGCAGAGGCCTAAGAACCAGTGTGGTGGTTCTGTCTGGATGCTTGGTGGGCAGGTGTCCTGAGTCACACTCGTGACAGTGTTAGAAGTAGAAAACACGAAGGGCTTGGGATGGTCAGTCCCCTCCAGGAACCGCGAGCATCCGGCCTCCCCAAGAGTATGTTTCCGGAGAGCCACTCGGGGAGGACAATGTCCTCCCAGAGAGGCAGTTCCAGGAAGGATGCCCTGCTCCCAGACACGCCCTCGGGGAGGCCGGAGGCCCACAGGCCTGGTCACACCTCTGCAGGACCCTCACCTCTCCGCCTCCTCAGTGTCCCCATCTGCCATCTCCATGACGGTGACAGCTCTGCAGATGGTGCTTCCCCATCCCTAGGGAACCACCCCTGCTGGCTGGCCCACAGGGAGCACCGGCTGCAGAGAGGACACTTCGCTCGGACAGCTGTGACGGGGGCCCAGGCGGGGGACACAAGAGCCCTTTGTGGGGACGGAGGGAAGCAGGCGCAGGCATCCTTTCCAGCTGTTGGCATCAGACGGTGTCTGGTCTG